AACATGGACAGAAGACACATTTGGAGATAATAATACGAGACACAAATGTATAATGAAAAAGGTCAGAAGACACAGATTTTCATAGAATCAAAGAATCGTTTACCCGAGGGGTAAACCGCTGAGGGTATTGTGGTGTACAGATTTCGGTCATTGCTAGGTATTTTTGGGGCATTAGTGGGTGTTATTTGGCCCTACTGGAGCATTATAAAAAATATAAAAAGGTAAGTAAGATAAAACAAGATGAAATAAGATAAAATAAGATTAAATAGGATAAGATCAGATAATAAGATCAAGTAATGCCCACTGGGCATTAGTATGCGTTGGTGTACATGATTTTGGTCAGTTTACTCCTCGCATTTAACTCAAAATGTACCCGAGATAAATAAATGCATGACTAATATGCATTTCATTTCTCTGTATCTTTTATTTTGCAATATATAATCTAATTTCCATACCTTTGGAATGGATTTTCTTAAAGTTTCGAAATCACGCATCTTCTTAAACTATAATAATAACTTCATTTCAAAGCGGCGGTAAAGTCTTCCACGTAAGAATATTGTTCATTGCCCAAGACGAAACTGTGGAAATCATCGGGCAACTATTTACAACAGTGATTCGTAAGTTTTGTTGTGGAGTTGTTACCGCGTTATAACACAAGTTTCTTTATTAAAACGGGTGCGCTAACCCCAAATAGTCATCTTGCACTGCTGCGCAAACTTATATTCCTCGCAGCCGTGTCTTCTCTTCCGAATTATACGGCGTATCGGCCGTTCACTAATCCGTTGACACTTCACAGTTTGTCAAAGGCAAGTTTGCATTAGGGAACTTGCGTTATGGATGAGCGGCTGGAATCAACTTTACAAACACAGAGTGGAAGAATGAGAGTGGGCTAACGATTAGATAAGGGAACTATCATTAAAATAAATCAATCAGAACTTACAATTAGTACTTTGTCGTTGTCTAATTGCTGCATTCTCCAGTTAATATCTACTTTCCCTTATTAATGAGGCTTTTAATAATTTATCGCTAAACGGTGATTATCACGTAATTAATTTTAGTGAGGTGGGATCTTGGAACTTGGAAAATTTTTTTTAAAAGATATATATAAATTAGACAGATTATATATTATGAAATAAAATATATAACATTGTTTATCTCAGATACATTTTGAGATCAATAATTTTTTGATTTTATGAAAAACGCTTTATAGATCTTTGTCTTCTGACCTTTTTTATTATCTGATGGGTCTAATAACAAGTCCTAACAATACCAAAAAGCTATTTCAGATATACTTATATTTAATTATTTATAATTAATATTAAAGAATATGTGTGTGTTATGCAAGAAGTAGCAATTTATTCACTAATATTTCAATTACTTTTGTTACTTTATTTCGACAAAATTGTGATTATTCTTCCACTATTCATATATCTTCTATTACATTTATTTTATTATATATTATATGTTTAAATATGAATTAGAAGAAGCAAAATGACTTATAGGGAATGGAGATAAAAATAAAATTTTCAAAGAAATTTTAATTTATCAAATAATATCAAAGTACTTTTACATATTTAGGCAGTACCGCATTCTTTATCAATTTCACAAAATTTTGTTCGGTTTGGCTGTGTATCGACCTACTTGATAAAGTTTTGGAAAATGCGTTCCGCGTTATCCAGTGCCATCGCAG